ATAAACTCATGTTTACAATGTTTACTGAGGTAATAAATCAAGAGAGACACACACACACACACATACACACACACTTCTCGTTTCCTCCCAGCCGGGTGGAGTCAGGGTGGGGGGGGGGGGGTTTAGGAAATGATCTCAGAGCTTCTGTCAGCTGCACAGGAAGTGTCCGTCCTCTAACACCCCCCCCAGAGTTCCTGCAGGAAGCTCCTGGTGAAAAGTGTCCACGCTTCAACTTCCTTCCTCTCAGTTATTACAGAGAGACGTTGTGTTCATGAAGGAGAACATAAAGACTTCACTTCCTGTTCCTCCTCCAGATCCACAGTCTGTTCCTCATTTACTCAGAACGTTAAAACATGTTCCTGACGTTCTCCGTACCGGACACTCTTCTGGTCAAAAGACCAGTAACAGACCAGTTATAAACCAGTACAACACCAGTAATAAACTAGTATAACACCGGTACAACGCCGGTACAACGCCAGTACAACGCCAGTACAACGCCAGTAATAAACCAGTATAACACCAGTAATAAACCAGTACAACACCGGTACAACAACAGTAATAATCCAGTACAACACCAGTAATAACACCAGTTATAACACCAGTATAACACCAGTAATAAACCAGTATAACACCAGTTATAACACCAGTAATGAAGCAGTATAACACCAGTAGAACACCGGTATAACAACAGTAATAAACCAGTACAACACCAGTACAAATCCAGTACAACACCAGTAATAACACCAGTAATAAACCAGTACAACACCAGTACAACACCAGTAATAAACCAGTACAACACCGGTACAACAGTAATAAACCAGTTATAACACCAGTTATAAGACCAGTTATAAGACCAGTTATAACACCAGTAATAACACCAGTAATAACACCAGTGATAACACCAGTGATAACACCAGGTATAACACCAGGTATAACACCAGTATAACACCAGTGAAAAAACAGTATAACACCGGTTATAAACCAGTATAACACCAGTAATGAACCAGTATAACACCAGTAATGAACCAGTATAACACCAGTAATGAACCAGTATAACACCAGTAATGAACCAGTATAACACCAGTAATAAACCAGTATAACACCAGTAATAAACCAGTAATAAACCAGTATAACACCAGTCATAAACCAGTAAAAACACATGAGAAATACCAGTACTAAAAGTACACAACCAGTTAGTAAACCAGTAAACCTCCAATTTGATGACATCACCACTGGTCTGAAGGCCTGACTTCTGACCTCTCGGGTGTCTGACCTGCAGAGCTTCGGTGAGGCTCCTCCTCTTTCCGTCCACCAGGACGAAGGGACACGTTCTCTCCAGTAGGGGACGCCGTCTGTCCACACCTGAGGACACACAGACAGACTGGTAGACTAGTAGTCTACTAGACTGGTGGACTGGGTAGACTAGTAGACTTTAAAAACGTTTCCTTCAGATTTAACAAAACAAACATTAAAAATATAAATATTAAGATTGTTTGTTTATGTTCAACTGTAACTTTACTTTGTAAATACTGAAAATGTTGAATACATGTAATCAATATTTGTAAGTATTGATTACTATTTGTAAGTATTGATTACATTGATTCCAGAGTGAATCGATCAATCACAACGATCAAGTTTTGGTTTGGAGACAAACAGAAAATAAATAAAATAAATAAATAGTTTTGTAAGTAAACTAATGACGTCGGTCAGTTAACAGTAGCACGTTTACGTTAATGTTACCTGCGGTCAGTCTGTCAGTACCGTCCGTTGGTCCATCCTGCGGTGCGTTCAATGACCGGGCGGCAGTGAACGCACCACCGCTGAGCAGCAGCAGCAACACGGCAACTCCATTCATCCTCTCTGCGTCATCGGCAACCGGCAACCGGTTGCTGCTGTTTGAAATGTGTGTGTGCGCGTGTATAGGTGTGTGAGAGGGTGTGTGTGTGTGTGCGTGTGTGACCCCGTCCGGTTACCTCACCGTCTCGAGATAAACTCCACGGTGCTTTTTTTTTCCCGGTAACATCCACAGAAACCAGCGTGTTCAGACTACCGGACCACCCGCGGGAAAGAAAAGTGCCCGTTAATGTAACGTAAACGGTTAGAAACCCCGGGACCGATATCTGCGCAGCTCCGGTAAAAAAAAAAAAACCAGTTTCTGGACCCCAACAAACTCCCGTTAACACCGGGAGGAAGTGAGCCGGTTAACGGCTCGGTTTATCCGTCCTGAGAGGCTTGAAAGAGACTAATTACTGGAGGACGGCGGGGCGCCTGTGTTTATAACCGGGAGCTCAAGGATACGTCATCTGGTGACGTAAAGCTAACCCGAGTTAGCAAGAGACAGACCGGAAGTACTGACAATCAGTCTACAAAATAAAAGCTGGAGAAGTGTGAGGGTCTCTGTGAACCACATTAAATTAATATTTAACTACATTTGACTAATTAATTCCAAGATAATTCTAAAGATTTCGTGACTTACTTATTTTCTATTATAATTCAAATAATTAAACAAGAACTTTCAACTAAAACTACCTCAAGTGAGTCTTTTTAAAGGTAAATCAAATATGAATAAACAAATAATGCTAAATAAAACTTTTATTATTAAATTATTATTTACATTCCCAAAAAATTATCAACCACAAATGAACACTTTTAACTGTCACACTCCAAGTGAAAATCAGACTTTAAAAGTAACTTTATTATTTAAAATATGAATACATTTATTTGGTCTTTTCACAAGTCAAGATAATTTTATTTATTCAGCCCAAAATTAACAAAACTTCAAATCTGCTTTAAAAAGGCTTTTACAATCCAAACAGCAAACCTTCGGTCCTCAATAATAACCGGTAATAAGTCAAATAAAACCCCTAATTAGTGAGTCTTTAATGTCATTTCATATTGAGATATCGATATCATATATATGTATATATATACATATATAATATATATACATATATATCAGAGGTTTGATGTGAGTATTTCTTCCATATGTGTCTGCAGAATGCAGGTGTTGAGGTCCATTAGCAGATATGATGAAGTATTTGTACTTGTATTTGTTGTACTGTGTGTTGTACTGAGTGATGCCATCAAGGGTTCAGAGACCCTCGACATCACTCACTGATCCAGAATCAGATTACAAATGTGAATGAAGCGAACTGCTGAACAACGCTGCTGAGGATCAGCTGGTTACATAATGTGATCATGTGACACACACACACACACACACACACACACACACACACACACACACACACGGTTGAAGTTGTAAATTGAAATGAAAATAAAGAACAAACTAAACTAGAAAATTCCTAAAGAAATTTTGACAGTGTGGCTTCTACTGCCCGAAGAAATCGCAATATATACACACGGCAATGTTACCGGTAGTGTCGTTCAGGTTCAATTGAGATAGCGCTACTCTCTTTTCTGCATTTTAGATTAATACTCTTGGATTGAATCTTCTATCTGTGGGGCTTTTATTTTGAAAGGGTGGGACTGGGTGGGTGAGCGAGGGGGAGAGGAGACAGAATCATAATGTTTGACACACAAACTCAGAGGTTATGACAGAGTTCATCACAAGCATTCCAGTTGGAGTTCACTCTCTGGAGCTTTTATTTTGAAATGGGAGGGGGGGTTCTCTAAATATATCAAAAACTGAATGACTCTATGATAGAGAGAGAGAGAGAGAGAGAGAGAGAGAGAGAGAGAGAGAGAGAGA